ATTACTGAATACTCTGAGATTAATCAACTGCTACTCACTTGGAGAGTCTCTTGAGGAGGATAACTAAATTTTAAAAAAAGAACATAGTCCTCCCATAACTGAAAGAAATCTGACCTGGCAAAAGAGATGCAAAAACTGAAACTGCTCAGCCCATAGAGAAGTTTCCTGAAGGCAGGAAGATGACTACTTACAAACACCAGTTTGGATGATTAGGAAGGAAGCTATCAGAATACTTTCTGCATTAGGTCAATAAAGACAGGCTAAGAAGCAACAAACTAAGAGCAGAAGACGGGAAACACACTCTCCTGTGAAGTACCTGCCTCACTTTTTCCCTTCTCACAATGTCACAGATGTTACTGTGACACCTGAAAAATTTTAGGAAAGCATGGATATATTCCACCTATATTTCTAAGAAATGATGAGTGGAAAACAGGTGTGTAAGTTTCTTGGGATGATATCTTTCATGAATAGTTTCTAAACTTTTATCTTCAGCACTTGCAGTGGATTACACTAAAAAGTTATTGTTGCTGATTTTACTGTTTTCTTCAAAGAACTGTTGTTGGAAACTCACAATTCCACAGGTGTTATGTTCAGGGATTTCTATTTACACTAAGGTAGATACTTTTATTCTGCCACCCTCTTCCATCTCAGTGAATTGTATTATTTGCATATTAGTTGTCCATATGAAATTTGCTTACTTGAAGACAGGGAGAACATATTTTCCTAAGTTTCACAGCAAGAATTTACACATTCACCTCTGTTTCTTCTGTTCGCCTATATTTGATGTATTTGTTCAGGGAACAGATACAGTATAGCAGCCTATATGGCAAATGCCAGGCTGCAAAGAACAGAAAATAATCAAGTATGTAGAAGAAGAAGAAGAAAAAGAAAAGACATTTTGGAAGAGGTTTGGTCTAAACCTCTTTTCACTTACAGCAATGAAATTCCTATCAACTTATTGGTGGATCAGGAAACATAGCAACTGAAAAAGTTAGCACAAACACATTTGGAGAAAAAATATTTTTATAGGTAACTGGCAAGTGAAGAATAGGCAACATCACTAAGTTATACCATGTGAGCAATCATTAATTGCTCTATTTTAAAATAAACTCTTATTTCTCATTTTATTTACTTAATGCATCTCCTCTGTGATTCCTATCATTGAGTACTCTTTTCTCTTTTCAAAACCAAGAATTTTCATTATTTTATCTAGGCACTCTGAGGTCTTATACTTATCACCCTGAACCAGATCTGAAAGCTCCTGAGAAGAAAATCATTTAAACATGTATGTGGAGCACAAAAAATATAGTGGCATTACTCCCTTGATCAACATTCAGTATGAATTCAAGTACTCTGTCAGATCAGACCTTTTTTGAATTCATACATTATTCAAAAAGTTTAAGGGTATCTTTTGAGTTGCCTAGCTGGGGTAGTTTGCCATGAAGATTTTTAGAAGTTTACTTAAAAGAGAAGAAAGACAGTAGAAGACCCAGCTCACAAGAGCTGTGGATATCTATGCTTGACCTCACTGAAAATTCAGGGACAGCAGATGTGACAACAGGCGTATTAAGACAGGTTGGAAAACAGCATGAAAACATGTCCTCCCATTATCTAAGTTGGCCATGCTACAGTGAGGTTAAGAGACAGAAGCTGATGATTATGGTCTGACTTTGCCAAAAGAGCAGGAATTACCAAACTGTGTTCAAGCATGGTCTTTTATGAGTATACCTATAAAAATGGCTACAAAACAGAACACACATTCTATGATTATTTTCAACCAACCACCACCCACAAAAAAAAAAAAAAAAAAAAAAAAAAAAACCCCAACCAAACAAAAAACCAACAAAAAAAACAACAAAAAACCCCAACCAAAACAAAAACAAACAAACAAAAAAAACCCAAAAAAACCAACCAGAACCAGGGATCAGAAGTCAGTCAATGGAACTGATGATACCACGTAACACTCTCACCTAATTCCTATCTTCACTCATGCATGCACTGGACAGTGGGCTACAGAGCAAGCAATGGGAGTTTTCAGCTCTGATTCAGGATGGTAGGAGCTATCTTGACCAGGTTACTTTGCTGCCTTGTGTAACAGTTTCACTTTCAAAAACTGAGGGCAGACAGTAGCACTTGCTTAGAAGATCAGGAAGGAAGAGTAGGGAAGACAACAAACAGTAACACAACTAACTAAATTCATGAGATTTGTTCCATTCAGATACATTATGGAAGGTGTGATTGTGTTCATAGACAGGGAACTGAACCTGCTGCTCCTGTAAGTCCCTATTTGATCCCAGGCTTCTATCTATCTGTAAAGATTATAAAGGAAACCTTTTCATCTCCTAAGGTCGTTGCTTGCAAAATTTATTTGGCAGCAAAGTTACATCTTTTAGCTAGCAATTAGACATCCATGGCTAAACTAAAGAGCAAAGGTTGCCTGGCTTAATCCCTACCCTCCAGCTTTGCAACACGGGGTGAATAAATGACGTAAGAACTGCACAAGTTTATGTTTATTTATAATACTACACACCCAGCAACTCTAACCTGGAGCACTCCAGAGTGGAAGGATACATTTTTATAATGCCTGTTTCTTCATTAAGATTTCATCATCCACCTACGCTAAAAAGCTACTTCCCCTTCACTTTGTTATATCTGCTTTTACCCGCTCCTGTTCTTGCATTATTTTTTTAATCTCCCATTCCTACTTTACATGCACTCTCAAATTTTAAACAAGTAAAATTTGTGCATTAGTGTGTCCTTTTCATCTATCATTTATGAATGACAGGTTCTTTGGTGCAGCTTAATGGTATGAGAGAGACATTATTTTAAACATTAAAGTGAAAACCATTTACAGCTATGATAAGAGAGGTCTGTTGACATTAAACTTTAAAACATGCACAAGGTAAAGGCAAGTAGTTGCTCCCAACAGGTGAGAGTACTATGCATGTGCTTTGTAAGGGAGTTTGTTCAACACAAGAGCTGTCTCTTTGTTTTCTCTGTTTGACAACCTGTAGGATCTGGTGCTTCAAATAATGCATCTGGTAATCAGCAGCCACCAGAGTTTGATAACTAAAAGGTATTTAGAGCACAGTGTAGAGGATTAATTTTAAAAAATTACCATTTTGTTGGTGGAAAATATTTCGTACCATTTACATTAGAAAGAAGTAGCAATAAATAAATAAAAAAATTGAACCAGTTAAAGCTTTCTTTTACACTTCTTGCTCACACCTTTATCACTTTCACACTGGACTATCACTTCCTTTATTGTCCTTGTCCATTAAAATTATACAATTCTGTTGTAAGATATTGGCTAACACTTGTCTTGCTGTATTTTGTTCCATTCTATTCAGCAGCAACTGCATTCTGAGAAGTATCAACATAGTTAGGAATAGTAAATAAATACATCTGTATTTTATCTCATATATACTTGGACTGAGTACTGTTCCTAACAGTGTTAGACACACGGATTGAACAGGGGAAAAAAGGGATCTTATAGAACTGCTTTCAGTCTGATTTTAGACCACAGGGAAAATGTAGTAGATCCCTCAGGGTAGAACCATTGCAAGCATGGTACAGCTCAGACAATAGAGAGGATACACAGAGAGATTAACTTTTTCCTAGTTACTTTGGAGTCATGCAACTCTCTCAACAACTTGAAGGAGGATGGCAGAATCTTATTGATAAAGCAGACCTCCCACAGCAAGAACAAAAACATATCTGGGGCATGGATGACAGATGAGAAAACTCTGATTTTATTGTAAATTTTATAAAAGTTATCTTCATGCAATACTGTATTTTTAGTTGCCTCTATTCATATAGCTGCTTTAATCAGCAGCAGCGAAACAAGTTGCGTGTTGCAGTCAACTTGCTTGGAGGGAAGGGATAATGGCATCCAGAGGGACCTTGACAGGCTTGAGATGTGGGCTGAAGCAAACCTTAAGTTCAGCAAAGCAAAGTGCAAGGTCCTACACCTGGGTCACTGCAACCCCAGACACACCAATGGGTTGGGCAGAGAAGTGATTGAGAGCAGCCCTGGTAAGAAAGACTTGGGGTCGACAGGTGATGAAAAACTCCACACGAACCAGCTGTGTGTGCTCACAGCTCAGAAAGACAATTGAACCCTGGGCTGCATCACAAGGAGCATGGCCAGCAGGTCAAAGGAGATGATTCTGCTCACATGTGATCCCACCTGGAGTGTGCACAGTTGTGGTGTCCCCAACATAAGACACACATTAAACTGTTGGAGCAAGTCCAGGGGGAGGACCATGAAGTTTCTATGAGGACTGCAGCACCTCCCTTATGAACACAGACTGAGAAAGTGGGGGCTGCTCAGCCTGGAGAAGATCACATGGAGACCTTATGGCAAATTTCCACTATCTGAAGGGTTTCTACAAGAAAGCCGAAGAGGGATTCCTCATCAGGAACCGTAGTGACAGGACAAGGAGTAATAGGTAGAAGTTGAATGAGGGAAGATTTAGGTTAGATATTAGGAAGAATGTTTTCACTTGGGGGTGATAAGACAGTAGAAGTTGCCCAGGGGAGGCTGGGGATGCCCCAACCTTGACAGGCTGGGTAAGACATTGAGCAGCCCGGTCTATGGGGAGGTGTCTCTGCCCATGGCAGGTGGGGGGGTTGGGACTAGATGATCTTAAAGTTTGTTCCAAACCCTTGATATTCTATGATTCTGTTATTCTCTCATTTGAAATCTCCAAGTGGTCTGTGTGTTGAACACTGATCACTGATGACAGAATAACCTAACGAGTCATTCAAGTGGTTTGCATTACTGACCCACAGAATGTAAGACCCAGCCTCCAACATGTTTCTATAAAAAGGCAAATAGCCCTTAAGTATCTGTCAAGCATTCAAAAGCAATCCAGGTGTTACTTTTCAATATTCATGGAGAATAACATTTCATTTGAAAAAGAGATCACTCAGTTTAAAGAAAGAATGGCATAAAACATGTGAAAGAACCTGTTAGAAAAATTATGAACATGACTTACCTTGTAGATTTTGCAATGGTAAAGTCATGATGCCTCCTGCTGCAGCTGCTGCTACCAGTCCTTGGATGTTGGTGAGATTTGCTGTAGGTAGAGTTAGGACGAGTCCTTGTTGGCCCCCCAGCTGCCCAGCCATGTTGAAAGGAATAAGGATTGGCTGATTCAAGGCTGGAGTGCCTCCTGGCATCACCCCTGCTACTGCTGAGGCTAACTGTTGGGCTGTCAGTAGTGGCTGTAAGAAACCACAGAAACAAACCTATTTCAGTGTATATAGCTCAGTATTCCACACTTTCAACCTTCTGGCTTGAGATCTTTTCATGTTCCATTACAGACATGCACTGCTTCCAGTATCTTAAAGCATACATTTTCACCAATACAGAAAATTTTGACAAATATGACAGTCTGAAGCTGTAAGCCTCAGTCAAACAGCATAGTAGCAATCCCAGCTGAATCTAGACTGGAAAATTCATTACACATACACAAAAGATAATATATAAGCGAAAGAAGACATAACTCAACTTAGTCTACAGGTACCTAAATGCCAACATTTCCCAAAAATTCCTGGTTATATACTGATTGATAATAGCAGAAAACACTAGTGACAACTGCTAGAAGCTTTGTGGACCACAACTGTCATGGGAAGTAGAAGAACATTGAGTATCTTTTTAGAGTATAGCTGAATTTGGATAAAATCATGAAATGAGATGGGAAATATTTTAAAATCTTATAAAGTGTAATACTACTGCACTTTGCTCTAAAGAAAATAAATATCTGGCATAAAAGATAATGAAGTACCTTTGCTAATACAGGAGCTCTGTGTGACAGACATAACGGTCAGAGACAATAATTCTACATTAAAATTGAACAAGATTTTTTGTATTAAATTATTATATTAATTTTGTGAGTAATTTACATAATAAATTAAAATATTTTAACTTCCTAAATATGTAAAACTCCTTAGGTTTTATTTTAGAAAAACATACAAAATCTAATCCTGCCAAACTAGACTTTTAAAATATACATGATACATACATGCTCCCTTTTTGTACCACTGAATGCAGCCAAAGAGATTCACATTTTCTACATTACACACATCAAAGATGATCACAGTTATTTATTGTTCATCAAATTGAACATCTCGATTAGGTGAAAGGAAAGATACTGACCTGAGGACCAACAGGAAATGCAGGATGGGACTGACTGGGTTGGTGCTGGTCTGCTGGGCTTGTATCAGGAAGCACGGTGTTTCCTCTGGCCTCTGAAATCCAAAGAACAGATTGACTTTAATATCAAACCCGGGGACTGCCACATTACCTTCTACTCTGATGTCACATAACATGAAGCTGAAAATGATACGTTAAAGTGCTTTATCAATAACTCAAGCACTCAAATCGCTTATCAGCCACATAAATTATGCTAACATTCATTCAGACCAACCAGCTCATTCAAAGAGTTACAGAAATCTGACAGCAGTGAAACTGAAGCTATCATCAACCCAGCTAATGTGAGTTGCATTATACATCAATTTACATACAGCACATGAGCACTCCGTGTGTGTAGGAACTGCATTTTTTTACGGTTAGGTGAGCATTAGCTATTGCAACTGAAAGTAAAAATTATCTGAAAAACAATCAGGTCACATCTACTTTATATCTTAATAAAATATTTTCTTTTGTCAGCTACTGAGGAAGCAAAGGCTCTACTATGCGCAATAAAAAGGCACTATGAAAACTGGTATGCTTCCATATGACAGCTTGTTTTTTAAATTGCGTGTGGAGGATTAGCAAAATTCTGCAAAACCAAGGATTTCCAGCATTTGTTGAGAAGATCAATATCCAAAAATTGTACTATATGCTGGGCACTAATGACTTGCTAAGCACAAAACACAGTCCAGCCTGCTAAATTTTGCTGAAATCTGCGATACAGATTTGAAAGGGAAGAAGAAAAATAAAAACATCCTATCAGTTGTAATAAAGTAGCAAGATGTTTTCAAAACTACATCCCAATCCTCCATTTCCTATGGGTGAAGGAAGTTTTCAGTGATGATGATCAGGCCCACATTGATTTTTGAGGTTGTGAGAATGACAGCAAGTATCAAATGTAGCTGCAAGAGTACTGTGGTCTCTTATAAAGAAAATCCTGGCAATGGCATCAGGTTTCCTGATTGGTATGATATCTTCTGGTTTGTTTGTTTTTTCTTCTGATGAGTGGTTGAAATTCCATTCCAAGTAAACCTTAACAAGATGCTCTTTTCTAATGTTTGTCCTATGAATAGCAAGATAATTCAGAAACAGTTTCTTGGCACACCCTTGTGCTGCAAGGAAAAAGGATACAATTCTGTCATAAATTTTAAAGAGGGTATTATCAGCTCATTTAAAACAAATTCTTTTATATATTCCCCAAGGAGAACAACTTATAAATAATGGAAATGTGGAAAAAAAACCACCTTCACCGCATTAAGGTTCAAATAAAATTGACTGCTACATATTATTCAATTGACTTCCATCTCTACAGAAAGCTGTCAATCATAACAGCATTTTAGAATTGGATTAAACAATAAATGTGTGGACTTATTATGCAGAAATCTGAAAATCTGATTAATTTGTAATATCTTTGTGTGCTCTCAAAAATTCAGAAATGGACATTGCTCTGGGAATACTTACAAAAGGTCTATTGAAATATCTGATTTGGAACTTATAAAAACATACAAACTTGCTGACATTTTATAAAGTGAATTCTACAGAAATATGTTTGCCATTTTAATGACCATTGTCATTTAATAATGAGAATAAGCTGACTACTATAACCAGTGAGGATTTCAACAATTGCCTAGTAACATGCAAAAAGGGACACAGTCACTAAATTTTTTATTTACAATTTATTCATTCAAGTTAAATGAAAAGAGAAAAATGTAACCAGATACATGAGTGTCAGTGAAAACTGTTTCTTTCAAATGCCTAATAATTCTAGTGCTGATGCCACCCCTAAGACAAAAAAAAAACAGGGTTTCCCCAGTATTATTTCCTCCTATACAAAATAAAGTGCTATGTTGCTAAACATAATTTTTCCTTTGGTAATTTCCACATACTGTTACAATTTTTTTATTAATCTTCACAGCTGTATGTGTAAAGTGATGTTAGATCCAAGGCTCAGTACCAATGAAGATATCACTTCCCATTAAGATCAAATCTTATAAGTCAATTTTGTTTATGTCATTTTAAGGGCTGTGAGTTTTGTCTATGTGTGTGATTTAATCAATATTAAAACAAGGTCCTGATAATCTGTCATATCAAATGACATCAAATCATCCAATGAAATCTTTGGGAAAAGAACAAAACCAAAGTCCTTAGAAATAGATTTTATTGCAATTTTTATACCTTGAACTCTCAAAATATATATAAGAAGTTCTGAAGTAATATGCCTGTGTTTTAATATTCTTTTTTCCATGGTGTCCATCCAAAGAACCACTGATTTCCGTTACCTGTACTGTAAGGATTTTTCAATATTTGATCACTCAATCTTTATGTAACAAGATGGTTATATCAGACCATCGAGCCACCAAGATGCTTATATAGGACTGCTTTCCTTTTTCATTGTATTAGGTAGAATCACATAGGATTACATTACTGTCACACAGTTACTCACCACAGACGATTGTTTTGGGTTTTTTTTATTTCAGTGCTCAAATGCTCTGCCTGCTGCTCATAATTCAGTTCCCATAGGATACAATCATTTCAGGAAAACAGTACACACTTTAATGTGGTCTTATATGGCATCCTATATGAAATTATCAATCCTGTATTCTCTGACTGAAATTTTCAGATCTCTCCTGCCCCTTCTAATCTACCTGCTATAACAGACACTTAAGAGTCAAGAAAACGTACAAGAAAATCTGCCTGCTGGGCTGGCACTAGATACAGTGAAGCAAGAATTTCAGGATTAAGGTCTGTTGCATCACACTGTGACAGCATTTTTTCCTTGCTGTACGCTGCATTCACTGACACACATAGGTCAACACTGAAAAAGGCAAGGCAGAGTACAAAACATTGCTAGAAGTCTACTTTTTCTTTTCTGTCTTATATTTCTGACTGGGGGGATTCCCCTGATTTCAGAGGAGTCAGGGAGCTCTGTGTATTTCTGATTTCTCTACTATTTCTGCTTCAGATATTCATTGCTATGAATTTGGAGAAATGCCTTCACTGAGAACAACTGCCCTAAACTGGCAGCACACAATCCCCTACCACTGTTTCTTGCTGCTGTTTTACTGAGTTTATTTGGGAGTTGGTTAATTCCAGATGCTGTAACGACCTCTGCAGGTAAATTATTCCTTTGTCCAAATTCCAGTCCTCACTAATAAAAATGGACTGTCAAAATCTAGCTTAGATTTTCCACTTGTCTGATCCAGGCCTCCTGTTACCTCCTGTTAGGTTAGTCTCCAACTCCGCTCAGCCTTCTGTCAGTGAGGGGTCTGTCAGCAAGGAACCAGCTCTTATAACAACCCCTATGGAGCTGGGGAAAAACCAGCAGCACCATCTCTGTTTGCAACTATGTTTTGCAGAAATTCTACCCTCATTACAACCCCAGGCTGCTGGTACACAAGGGGAAGGGGGAAGGTAGTAGCAGGGCTACTACTCTGAAAGGAGAGCCAATTCTCCTTAACATTGTTTGCCTAGGCAGGGCTCTTATAATAACTGAGACCTGACAACACAGCCTAAGTCAATGAGTTTGCTCAATAGTACCATATGAACAGGCAGGAGTGCCATTGCCATAGTACTGCCACGACTGTAGACAAGGCTTTAATATTTAATAAGGAGTATTCATCATATGTGATTCATTATAAATTAATTATAAATTATATAATACATACCTCTCATCTCACCAAGGGACTGGAAGGGCATGACACAATAAAAAATTGAAGCACACTGTAAACATTGTAAAATAGCCTTCTTAAAATAAAACATTATTTTAAATAAAGCTAAGTAAAACAAAGGCAACCTTCTTCTCCCCTTATCAAAATGAGAAAAAAAAATCCACAAACCTAGTGAAAAACCATGTTGCACAATATCTGATTTAGAAAAGAGAAAACAACAAGCGAAACATCAGAAGAAAAAAAAATCCACATCTCAAGGCCACCAAGCTTCATACAAAATTACAGCTGTAAATGTACTGGTTATAAAAGGTTTTCCATAGTTTGCTTCCATTTTGTTTCTTATACATTTTCATCAACACAACAGGTAACTCAGTTCTTAGTGTCTCCCAGCGCCCTGTGAAAGTGAGAATGCTCCAGTGCCCCACTTTACAACTAACAGGTAAAAGAGACTCCAATGCAGATTCTCAAATAAGCACAATTTAGCTGATCTCCTCAGCTCTAGATCCGCTGTCCAGGAAGGCATGGGTCAAAACACAAAACTGCTCTGCGACTGCTTGGCTGCTCCAGGGGTACAGCAGTTCTGACAAGGTGAACCTGCACATGCTTCCCAGCATCCTCACTTGGATGCAATGCCCGTTCCAGCTGCCCTTGTCTCACCTGGTCTCTGATGCTTGCAAGGAACCTGCAGCTGACTGAAAAATGGTATGGAACAGCATCACAGGATGGAGTGCATTAAACTTGTACGTCCAGCTCTACCCTGGCCCTTCTGCACGTGTGTGCCTGTGCCTGCTCAAAGGCATGATGCACCCCGGCATCTCTTCTCAAACTCTGCACCAAAGCTCACTCAAAGCCAATGCTCATACCAAAGCATAGGACTAATCTCAGCAAATGACCTGGATATGAACAACTTCCTCATGCTCTCCATGAATCAATTCAATATGTCTCACATTTGTATCAAAACCAGGGATATGCTGGACCACTTCTCCTTAGAACTCAATGCTTTGAAAAATGAGCTGGATCAAATTAAATAATACTAGATTTTCAGTGATCAAAAGAATATATAAATCCTTCTGAGATATAAGAAAATATTTCAAATACATTAAAATTAATAAAAGAACACATTTCAAGCAACAGTTGTTATTAATCTTTAGCTAGTTCAACAATGCGACATTAAATTACTTGTATTTATCTCTCAGTAACCATAACAATAAGAAATCAAAAGTAGACTTTTTTCTTACTCACTGAGACAGCTCACATTAAACATACAGCTTTGAGAATTAAATCATTAAAGTAAAAATACTGCCAGTGAGAAAAAAGTTTTACATTTTTAAAACTAAAAAAATAATAAACTAAACAACCTGAGTAAAACATTGCTGCATTTAGATCAT